ACGCCATTCGACGAGCTTGGGGGAGAAATTGGCGGTTGGCGGATATAGAGTGATGACGTTGAAAAGACCGAGAAAGGGAGGGGCGGTAACGCAGGTTAGTTCATTTGGAAGAAGCGACCTATTAAGGGATCATTGGTATTCTAATTGGGGTTTAGGGGATGTTGGTTTCGAGAGGTCAGAAGCTCCTCTTTGCCGACGCTGACGGTGCTACACGGTTTTCTGACGTAGAGGAGCTCGAAGCGCGTCTTGATGCCGTTTCACGGAACGGGCTTGGAGTCGCTGTCGGGTCACGGGCACATATGGTGAAATCTGACGCCGTCGTAAAGGTAGGTGAGATGTGTTCACCCTTCACATTCCGGTAACTAACTCCTGCCTCTGTATTCAGCGATCTTTCATCCGCAATTTTCTCATGCATGGGTTCCATACTGTTCTTTTCATTCTCGGCATTGCGTCCATAAAGGATACACAATGTGGATTCAAGCTTCTAACGCGAGGCGCGGCCCGTTCCATCTTCCCAAATATGCACGCTGAAGGGTGGATTTTTGACATTGAATTGCTTCTCATTGCTTTGAATCTCGGGATCCCCATTGTGGAAGTTCCTGTGAACTGGCACGAGGTAGAAGGGACAAAAATGTCACTGGTCAGGGATTCAGTTGTAATGTTGGTAGACTTACTGGTGATTAGACTGAATTACCTACTTGGATTGTGGCAAGTAAAAGGGGAGAGACAAAAGCAGTCTTGAAGTGTCGTGGGCTGAACACTACTAGAATGACGACTAAGGTGCCATGGTTTGAGATCTGGAATTGAAGACGCTAACTTAAATACAACGTTCCAAAACTAGTGGTATTTGCTATGCTAATCACTATCGCTATCGCCACTATCGCCATCACTATCCTCCGCACTACTATTCTCGTCTGCCTCGCCATCCTTCGCACCTTGGGTCTCCTTTCCCCTTTCCCAGCCGCCCTTGATCACAGTTTCCCATGGACCTCCTTTGTCCAAGTTCAGAGTCCACATGTCATCCAAGGTAAACTCTTTTTTGCGCTCCTCAAAAAGCCCACCGTAGAGGTACAGGGTACTGCGGTAAACAGTTAACATCGCGTTATACCTTGGATGCGGGATATTTTCTTCTGACGCTTGGCCGTCGGCCAATGTGTCATCCTCCCCCTCCCCCTGCTCGACCTCCTCTTCACCAGTTGGCGCCTTTGCTCTTCGTCTCCTCTTCCCACCTTCCGCTTCCTTTGGTTTCTTCAAAGTGAAGGGAAACCACTTTTTCCCTTCAAGCGCAAAGCTAAACATGTCATTACGGGATACGCTTACATCTCCTGCCTCCTCGTCATCTTCTACCCCTCCAAACAAAATAGCCCTGTTCTTGTGTACCGTCATGGTACAACCTGCTCGGGCCGGCGGTGGCGTACCGGATTTCTTAACGCGCTCCCAGCGTAGCGCACTCATATCGGTGGACATGTGCAGGATCCACATATCTAGACAATGTGTCAACTTAAAGTTCGGAAACATTTGGCACGTCTTGGTATGCACCTGAATGAACCACGCCCTGTTCGCGCTCTCCGTCCACTTGTGTCTTGCAATAGCCTCCATATAGAAAGCAAATGTCTCCATACGTAAAAAATTGGAAACCAGATCGGGCACTACACGGCTCATGTCAGCCTGCCACCCGTCACTCAGTTGTGGAAAATCACTCCTACTTACGTAGGTTTGGAGGATAATGCAGGGAGCTCTACCTTCTCCCATTTGTACTCATTGCAGTCAAATATCCACAGATCGTCATAATATTTGGTTGTTTTGTAGTTATCGTAGAATCCTATCAATGGACATCGGACTGTAAGTAACGTCACAGAGATAAATGAAAGATACACCACACACCTCCAAACATGATAACAAAGTTCTTCCACACTGTCATCCGATGTCCTGATCTTGGAGGCGGTGTTGGGATGTCAAGCTTTTCCCACTTATTTTCTTTCACATCAAAAGTCCAGCAATCCTGCTAGCTATCAGTGCGCTGTTTCAAATATTTCGTACAGGTGTACGGTGCTCACCTTCCAGTGATGGAATTGACTCTGGGTAGAAGAGGCTGGTGGCCAATGTTTGAATACCGGTGAAGAGTAGAATCCAGTGCGGGTACTAACCAAACTCTCCGGCAAAGACAAGAAGCTTTCCATTATTCAGTGCAACAGTTTGATGACCACTCCTTGGGCCAGGAGCATACGCCGATACAATCTTTCGCCATTCTTGTTTGTCGATGCGGTACCTTTTTCGAAACAACGGTGAGCACTTCAAAAGGTGGGTTGACTGACTGGACTGCTTACTTGTATAATTCATTAAAGACTCGTAGCTTGTTTCCGTCATAGTGCTCGCCGCCAAAGAGATATAGCACTGGCTGGCTTAGAGGGCTCGCAACGAACGAAGCATTTGCGCGCGGTGACGGGGGATCTGCGGATATTTCTTCTGTTACCTTTTATGGCTGTTACTCATCTCTTCAGCTCAAATATTTTACAGCATTATGAGCACTCTTTATATACCTCATACTTCTTCTTTTCCTCGGCCTCAAACTGCTTCAAAATAAGGTCTATATCCTCGTCGTCTTCTTCAAACTTTGCATTATGTCGAGCATTCTTTCGCTCCGCCTTTTCAGCCTGCTTTTGAGACTTGTAGGACTTTGCGGCTGCCTTCTTTGCAGCGTGGTCTTTTCGTTTCTTGCGTTTGTCTCTGGCCATGGAAATGGAGAGTGTTCTATGACGAGTAGGGGAGATCTCGAAAAGCTGACTTTCAGGCTCAAGCCACCCGCGCCACATATTTTGGAAGTTTGCAAGCGAAAACTGTACGTAAAACATGCACGATATGTGAAGGGCCCTACCAGATCATCAATAAAATGGACTACGGCACGAAGATATTTGGAAGATCATCATGGTTAGCTGGTGGGAAGAAATATCCAATGAGCGATCCCAGATATTGTAGTACAATCCACATTGTCATCCACATTTTCAACGGCAACCGTGGGTCATTCCAAGAGCATAGAATTGCACTGTGCAATCACAGTGATAGTCAACAAGTATTTTAAAATAATTACGAGCAATCAAATGGATGTGAATCGAGTGATCATATTTTATTGACGCGGATCTAGTACACCTGCGCCTGGGAACAGCATGTTAGTCCAAGTCTGATCAGATACAATGCTCACATAAAATCTCACCATTTCTGCCATGCTATTCTTTCAAAAAAAAACATGTGCAAATCTATTCCATCCACCACCTCTTCTCCCTTACGAAATCAAAAGCACCCAAGTCCTTCTTCTCAACCACACCCAACTCCTCCAACAAGGGCTTAAGCTCCTTCAAGTAATTCGCATACTGGTCCTTGCTGTGTGCCTTTCCCTCTAAAGCCTCCAACAACCGTACAGCTGTGGCAAAAGAGTTAAGCTTACGTGTGGCCTGGAGGGCGTCCGAAATCACCTCGACGGAAGGAACCCAGTCGGTGGAGAAGATGTGGTTGAGACCCCTCTCCAGTTCAAAGTCATCTTCCACGCTTTGGAAGTGGCGGCGCCAGTAGGTAACGTACTTCTCGTAGTCAGACTTGTCGGAGGGGTCAAGGTCATGCGCCGTTGGGTAGTTTGCCAGGGTGGCATCGAGGTCAGTGTGGAGAGCAGGTCCAGCCATGGTACGACGGCCAATGGTAGGAATGGCACAGGCGGCTATCAAATATCACGAAAGAAGCACAGCATAGGGTCCCAATGTGTGATGGTAATGGCGATTACGCAGAAGAGGAAGAGCATAAACCAGATTAGTTCGCTGTTCAATGGACGTTCATGTACCAAAGCACCATCCTCCAAAGAACCCAGCTATACAGCCCATCATGCGCCGGTGTTCATAATCGGCCTGATGGAACCCCTTCGCGCGTTTTCCAATCACTTTCAAAAAAAAACATACCACGAGGGGTGACTCCTACAGCCCGGGTTACTGCTGGTACCAGACGGACGAGGCGGTTCATGTTTGCCAATAGGAATAGAGCTAGGGGGAAGGACAGGCCAAAATGCAAGGGAGCCTGTAAGTTGTCGCGTGCGTAAGGTGAAGGCGGCTCCTCTTGAGATCCTTGTTCCGATTCTTGCCTTGAATTAGTTGCCATGAGAAAAAGGTGCTAAGCAGAATTGCCATTATTGTCTTAATGAATATCAAGCCACGCGCTTTCCGATTGGTTCGCTTACTCAGCATCTGACTTGCTGCAGGATGCTTCCTACTTCTATACGACGCTACGCAGATCTAAACAAACCAGAGCACTCTAACTCCTAAATATATAGGATCATCTCAAACCCGCTAGGTTGTGAATGTACATCTACCATAAGGTGCAGGTCGAAATCCATCCTTTGTGATCCATTTTCTCCTACTCTCTACCATTTCCTTTCGAATCTCTTGATCGTAATCCACTTGTGAAATCAATTGTGAGAGGAACTTGCCACCGTAGGAGAAGACTGTCTGACCATCCTAAAAGAGCAAGGAATTTTTTGAAAACTTTTGCCTCAATAGCATAGGTTCCATGGTAACCTACCTCTTCCATTCGTGCTCGCAGACTTTTAAGCTGTGCAGCTGTAGTCGAAAATGTTTGCATAGAGTAGTTGTGCACGGGATTCTCTTGATAATCACGTTCTCTTGGTGGCCGGCGTACACCCTTAAATTGCTATAGAGCATGTCCGCTTTTGAATGTGATGGTTGAATGCAAACATTGTGGTCAAACGTACTCTCACATTGATAGCCAAAAAGTTTGGCTGTCGCAAGCTGCGGAAGGCCAGCCATTGCTCAAAATCCTCATTTGTAGCTGCTACGCGTTTTTCTCCTCTTTCTGCCATTCCACGCACGCTGGACCCTGACCCAAATGTCGCCAACGAGGTCCTTGATGCCTTTGTATGGAGTTTAGAAGGGTCTCTGGATCAGACAGGCCTCCGTCTGAACCCACCTGATCATGTTCATCTACATCACTGAGGGACAGTCCACCCGACCCATTCCTCTCCATCATTCGACGAATCTTTCGCCCCGCCTTGGGTGCCGCCACTTCAAACGGCACTACTTGCCCAAAGTTTTCAGCAACCGCATTGATCAAATCCGTGCTCGGATAGTGACCAATGGGTGTAGGAGTGGACGAAGAGTCGAGGTGAAGAATCTGTCATCCATGGTCAGTGAAAAAGTGAGCATCTATCACCAAGGAAAATGTACCTCCCACACACCTGATTCAAAATCTCCAAGCACTCAAAACTTTCTGACGATGTGCGCTTGCGTAAGTAGGTAGACGTCTGCCTCATTATTTCAGAAAGTGATGGATCAAGCTTGACGTAGAGTAGACCTGGTGTAGCCAGCCAGATGCGTGAGGTGAATGTTATAGATGGATTGTACCAAAGATGGTATGCGTCCGACCTGGTGAAGGTGCTTAATAATGGACTGTCTCTCTACTGCAATGATTTTCGAGAACCTACTTTGGTAGGATCTCAAATAAGTGAGCCGTTCCACCATCCAAAAGTCCTTCGACGAGAAGTATGCGCATTTGAGAATCAAAGATGTGGTAACCTGTCAGTATATCCTAGGACCCGAGTTCCACGTAATCAGAACAATTATTAGAAGAAGCGTCGGCACCAGCAACACGTCGATACTTTATATCTCACCAGCTCGACGTTGCGCTTATCTTCGTCCGAAAGGGTGTACGCATCCAACATCATCCTCCTTTCCTTTTCGGACTCAGCCTGTATATTCAGTGCTTTCAAATTCTGTGCCACGATTGTCTCATGCACAAGTTCCGCAATGGACTCGTCTTGTGCGCTATAGAAGCGTCAAAATAACACATACGAATAGTAATTAGAGATGATACACACCTGGTAACGATAACGACTCTTCCAAAGAGTCCTTCAGAAAGCGCTCCGCCAGTTGAAGCCGTATTGGCAAGAATAGGATATTTGAGTTCGACGCGGATGGACAACGTTGCGGCGGATTCTAACCATAGTCCTGCAGGAATGCTTGAGGTACTGCTTGCTGGTGATCGTGTTAGGAAAGAAGGCCATGCGCATACAACGTTTAGGAATATTCCGTTAGATGTTCAGAAACAAACCTGGTCTGTGCCGTCCCGGCAGGATAGGAGTAATCAACTCTACATGCTTCATTCCCATTGCTAAATCTGCTAAGGCTATATAGGTCACAGAGATACGCAAAAATCAGATCCTTCCAAGCTTTGTTGCAAGAACTTGTCTTGCCACTTACAAAAGCTTGCATATCCATACGAATGCTTGCCGTTGAGATTCATTTGAGCTGTATTACTCGCGCCGACATCTGAGATGCTTTAGATATTATAATGAAAGTATGAAAACTGTCGCTGCCCACCTTGAGCAATCGACATGACATCTCCCGGTGGCCGAATATCTCTATCATGAATCTATGTTCTCCCGAAGTCAGCAGGCTTCTTTGTTGTTTCAATGTAGCAATACATACCTCTACCACGAACCGTTTGTTCAGTAAATCATCCCTCAACTTATCTTCGTCTAGCAGTCCCGCTAATATCAGGTGCCGTGTGTTAAATGTGATGCGTCGTCCGTGAGGTTGGGTTGTTGATGCCTGATGGGTATGGGCATCACTGAAGAATTTGAAGCGGGTAAAGCTGTTGTATATGCACAGATTGAGTCAGTGTCGTTTGGAATATATCCGTGTCCAAGTAAAACTTACACCGGAAGACATGTGCGGTCCAGTTCCTCGAACGAGACTGGCTTATCTGGCATTCCATCTGCTTCCAGGAGGGTGATACTCACGGGGTTGAGACTGTTGAGAGTTGTTTTAGCACATGATGATAAAAGCACCGGATTCGTTAGCAACACTCACCCTTCTTCTTGCTCTTTTGACAATAATGGAGCGCTTAAAGCTAATGCAATTCGACAGAATTCCAGACCTTCAACTTTGTCCTCGACTCTAAAAGTTGTGATAGTTAGCCAAGGAAAATAGCTCAAAAGAAGATGCAACACTGCCGGCGGTTGGCATATCAATGTTTACACGTACTCGGTAGCGACAGTCAGATCACCCCAGAAAAGGTCAGTGGGATCCAGCTCTAATCGTGCTCGAAGCTCATGTCGAATCTCATTCTTCTTTTTGGTTTCTTTAGGAGCGTCTTTGGAAGCTACCGGCGGTCTGGCATGGGCCGATGATGCGCGGGGTGCGGGTGCCTTGTGGCGCGCTGGTTTCTCGACAGGTGGTTCTGAGACAACACGAGGATGAGGTTTAGGTTCTGTCGCTGTGGGTTTCTTGCGACTGGGTTCTTGAGGAGCGATTAAAGCCTCTTTATTTACTTCAGTTTCTTTTGCAGGCGAAATGTCCGATGCTGATTTTTGCGATGGTTTTGTTGGCTTGGGAGGAGGTCTTGCCTGTCTCTCGAGAGATGGCATTCGTCGAGGAGCACGCTCTGGTTCTTCTTCCATTGCATTTAATGGCTGGTGCTCGCTGGATTCTGGGCTTCGGCGCGTTCTTGCGCTCCTACTGCGTGCGGATAGGTGCCGCTCGGGCTTGTCATAGTGGTGAGGCTGAGCTGGTTCGCGGAGGTCAAAGTTATCATCTAGCTCGGCAAGGTTGGTAGGTCTTCTTCGAGGTGATGATGTGCGTGGCCGCACCGGAAGAGCATAACGAAGGGAAGTATCTGCGGGTAAGGTTTTCAGTTCAAACCCATCTTCGTGGCTTCCTACTTTGGGTTTGGATTTTGGTGCTTCTCGAGCTGGCTTTTGTTTTTCTGGTTTGCTCTTTTTCTTTTTGCTCTCTTCCTCCTGTTGTGCTGCATCTTCTTCATCGCCTTCCTCTACCGCCATATCCGCCTTTGCGCCAAAACCCAAAAGTGATGCTCTGCGAATGAGAGAATACCTCTCTTTGATGGGCAACTCTGCATTTGCCAATATCAATTGCCGTTTCGCCAGCGCTTCCATAGAACTTTTTCGTGCGTCCGCATCGAGGGCGGCGCTCAGTCGGACACGGGATCCCGCTGCTTTTTTGCCACCTCTACGAAGGACGGAGGTGCGAGATGGGGCAACAGGCTCTTCTATTTTGACGACCTCATAGAGGGATACACTTATGGGCTTATCATAAAGATCGGCCAAGAATGTCTGTTGCGAGATGATGGAGGCAGGTGCGATTATAGAATAGAGTCTTCATAACAAAAAATGGTAGCCTTCTTACCGAATCAACTTGCACATCGTTTGACCAAGACCAGGGTGACCCATCCCAAGAAAGAATTTCAGTCTAGGAGTTAAACCGTCAGCATACTCATGTCACATCCGTGTCAATTGACAATGCCCAGAGCTAACCTTGCCTTCAAATACTCCCGCAATTGAATACACCATATAAAACCTACGATAGTCGTCCATGGAATTCTTTTTCTTTTTCACCTCTCTGTTTTCTTTCTCTCTCGCTAGGTATCGCTGAAAGAGAGGCGGCTGCTGCAAGACTGATCCATCACACGTTAGCTCTGCATCTTTGGTGAGGAAACACGTAAACTCGCACTTTTTTCCAGGGCATATTGGCATTCTAGCGTTAATTTGATAGTGTGGTCCCCAGCTGTTGCGACGGAAGCGAAAAGGGAGTTGAGTGCTTGCTGACTGGTAGTTGCATCTGTGGTTTTGGTGGTATGGCTCATCGTTAGACAAATGTGGGATTAGTTGAACGTGCTTAGGATCATATGCATGAATGATCTGACATGGTCATCAGGATCGTACATTGTTTATTTAAAGTTTTATTTACGATGAGGGATAGAGAAAATCTCCGCGTTGTCACCAACGTACGGTTTACAATTTTTGATATCATATCTGATGGCTGGGGTTGGCAGTTACGATATCTCATTGCCCCAAGGTCTTTTAAACCTCTGCTACGAAGATTATGTATATCCACCTTCCTACGCATGATGTCCATTTGATAGTTTTCCCAAAATATGGTCGCCTGTATGTCACTCAACTGCAAAATGTGTGGTTTGCTGTTGTGCCTGGCCATCAATGGTATATGAAGTCTTGTCGAGCACACAAAAATTACAAGCGTATTTGCACTCTTCACCTTTCACCACAAAGCATGACCGTCTCGCTATCCAACTATTATAATACCCCGACGCAAGCCCCAACCATCACTTTTTATATCGCGCAACAACCTTTTCCATCTTATCGCACTTGACAGCCAAGCCCGCCAGGGTATCATCTACCTTCTTTTCCATCCCCTCAAGCCGTTTGTAGATATCCACCTGAAAACTCTGCAAACGATCCATGATGACTGGCCAAAAATGGAAACAATACCCTTCAATTGACGGAATGACAAAGAGAGCACCAGTGGGGGTACGTACCTCGCAAATCAATCGATCTAGCTCGTTCTCGGAGTTCTAGCTCTAGAAGCCGTTGCTCGAGACCTTGCATCGTGTGCTTGGTTTTAAGGTTTTGGGGCTGGGCAGGTGCCATGCTCACCTGGAATTTGGATATCTTAACCTAAAATGTATCCACAACCCATCAATGGCTGCATACGAAAACGCTAAAAAATACAAAATACTCACATCCCTCCTTCCACTACTCAGCGCCGGATCAATTCCATGCATCTTATCCAACTCCATGGCCAACACGCCATCCTTAATGGCTCGTTCGATTTTTCCAACATGGTCGTTGGGAAGGTCGAGGGAGACAAGGAAGGTCTTGTCGTCGGCTGTGAGTTTGATCGAGCATGACCAGGCACGAAAATGTCGTTCAAAGAACCAAAAGAGCTCGGGTTCGGTTTCTTTCCATGACTGCCAGCTGATTCGAAAAGACAAATTAGAGGGTCTCTCGGGGTTGGGTTAGCGTTGATATGTGGTGTTCTTGAGAGGACTTACGGTAGGGAGGTTTTGCAGAGAAAGTGGGCTGTTCTAGCTAGTGTATCTTCGTTTGGCGGTACGTTTGGCTTGGAGGACATGGTTGGCAAGTTGCAAAGATTGTTGCCTCGCATGAAATGAAGTATAGACTGCCTAGACTGCTTATGCAATACGCGTCGCTCGCGCGCGTTTCTAGTGTATTGGCAACAGTGCCGACTACTGCACATCTATGCTACGAGACGACGCTAAGACAAGGTATGCCATCAGGTTTCAAAATGTTTAGAGAGGTTCCGCTGCCCTTGTAAAATCCTCCGCTGTCTATTTTACCCATGCAATACTCCGTCACTTACGACCCATGCGTTCTGAAGTTTCGGAGAAGAGATCAGGTGCACGCTCACACTTCCTCGAGACTAGAGTGTTCCGTAGTGTTTTGTATGCGCTGCGGTACTATTGGTGGTACCCCGACTCGCAGAATGTTACCGTTGGGTTTTGCGATGTGTATCTCCTCCTCGGGACGGATGCTCCTCCTTTGTCCAGAGGACAGGTCCGAGAGTACCAAGTCCTTGGTCGCGTGGATGTTTTGGAGCGTCGAGTATGAGAGGTAGCAGAATAAAAAGATCTGCATGTACCATATTATATACGCGACGGTCGGTATATAGATGTAGTAGACGTAAATGTTGGAGCTGACCAGGAAGATCATCATGAGGGTTGATTCCTTTAGGAGATCGAGTTGCATCGTGGACCATCTTGTGTTTATCCTTGCCCAGCCTTGTTTGAGTTTGAAGAGAATAACAATGTCTTGGATGAGGAGGTAGGTTTGTATCACGATCGCGCAAGCGAAATCGGCAACGAGACCCTCGTAGACGACCGTGCACGACCGGATATGACTCCGTAAGGCGACGATAATGACGTGAATGCACCAGACCAACATGACGCCCACTTGCATCGCAGTAAAGACATGCTTGTTTACTTGTGGGAACAGGCTTTGGCAGAGTGCGCGAGCCTTTTGCGATTGAATCAAGTAAAAGATTCCAAGAGAAGAGTACCATATGACGAGTCCGTTGCCGACCGTCAGAATCCCACAGGTTGGGTCACCGCTATAAATGACAATTGCCAGTCGGTCGACAAAGTAGCCGACGGTCAAAATGCTTTGAAGTATTAACGTTTTCATCAAGATGTTGCTCGTGCCATGGTAACAGAGGCGGATAGTGAAGGCTAGGAGACCTAGGGAGAAGACGAGAAAGAGGATAAGAAAGTAGAGGGTATCCTGACTTCCGCTCGAAACAGCCATGTCAAAGTGTAAAATGTTGTCGCGGCAAATGTGTCCTTGTGCATATATGTAGGATATATGAATTGCAACTTGCAAAAAATTAAAATATGGACCCGCTTTATATCGTTCTTTTTCGGAATTGGCACCCTCGACCTGTTGATTTTCGACCCCAGTTTAGGCGTTGATGATGACGGTGTGCGGGGAGACATTGCGGAGCTCTCCAAGAGGGTCTTGGCTTTTTTCGGCTGGGCTTGAATGGTCCCTCTTGCCTTGATCCCTTGTTCAAATCAGGAGACTGTAATGCAAATACGGGTTCGGAATATATGAGTCTATTTCGAGCTTAAGGAATTGTTGTGATAACGGTCTCAACGTGGCATTGAGCCCCACATACTGAATCCATCTGGAATTACCAAAGTTGTTTTCCCGTTGATCGTTGATGGTAGCAAGCATTGTCTTTAGGGCGCCATTGTCCAGCTGGGTCATGTCCCCGGGAAACGGGCGTACAAGGCAACGTCGCAGCGGAGGACGCCGTGAGGGTCCTTCAATGCAGAAGAAAGGAACTCAACTGTTCCCTCTACCCTTGGGGTCCAAGACTGGTCTCTGCCCTATGATCTATCTCTTTGTCGCAATCGCTTTAGCATCTGGTTTGCGTACCTCACCCTTTCATTGTCGGATACCGTCAAACACGCTTAATGTATGTATTCGTATATTCCACTGTCTTATTTGACGTAAAAAGTATGCATCAGGGTCTAAGGCAAAGGGCCAGGAACAGTCAAGGCCCAGCCCAACTATATGGGTTTGTTGACCGAGAACTTAGTTGTGGGTGCGTGACTTACCAATATCCGAACCGTCGGGTACCATCAAAACTTTGGTTCAAAAAAGTGATAGTTCGTATTATGGGTTATATTTTTTTGGGGAAGAGCATTTAATAGACTTTGAAGCGATGATGTTTTGATCATACTTAACTGAGCTTCTAGAATAGTGAAGGTCTTATCTTCATGTTTTGAATACCGCGAATAAGGCCCACGGTTTTGGGAGAATGAACAATATCTAAAACAATCAACAGCCGAACATTTGTTATGTCGCATCTGGACACCTCACATGGAAACGACATTGATGTTTGGAAGATTCAGTTCCGATCGCAGATTTATAAGGAATATGCCTCCGACGATGCTCCGGGCAAATGACCAGTGTTAAAACGAAATGTGTGTGTCCCAGATCGAACAAGTGAAATACATGGTTGTCCTCTTTTGAACGTAAAACAGGCATTGGGCAGTTATGGTCAAAGGACACCTTTCACCGTGTTCTGAAATGTTCAAAAGTTTATAACTTTACGTGATGGTTAAAATCACGATGAATGGGGACAGATCGTGTGTCTAGCGATCAGTGTCTTTTGGTCTAGGGCAAAAACGGATTTTGTTTACCTACGCACGTATGGTCAAGTAACTCAATACTAGGACGGGGAATGCGTGCGCGCAACTCTATATTCTTATTATGCATATATCCCGTTAAAAAAGTCTTTGATTGCACTATATCTTCCATACAAATTACGGTATTTTCACGCATTCCGTGTATAAAGATGCATTATTGCACCACTGTAGCACATCACCCCGTCAGGTAAGTATAACTATCTAATTCAAGCTTTGTTCTTTGCTTTTGTTGATTTCATTGTTGACAGTCAAGTAAGGAATATGGAAACCGCCGACTCTGACACGCATCATGGCATGTGCGCTCAATAAGATGGCTCTGAACGTGGGATGGTACACCTCAGCATTCCACATGATGTCCCTTTGCATGTGGAACCGCGTATTCTTCGTATGCGCGGATCACTTCCAAAAACCAATTTCAAGCATAGATCGCAAAGAAAAAACTGGTACAACTCTTATCGAATATTTGATCGGACAAAGCATAGCAGGAATATTGCAGTGCGTGCGTTAACCAGGTTTGATGTATGGCCTACTTGAATAGTTGAATGATGGCAACCACAATACAAGGTCAAACCCGCTGCTATGCTTGTCCGATCAAATATTCGATACGAGTTGTAGAACTGGCATAGCAGCCTCGTTTTACCACCAGAGTACGACTTTTGTATACAAATAGGGACCAATAAACCCTGATAAATTCCCAAAGCGTGCACCTGGTAAAACACCACAGGTCCCTTGTAGTATTTAATCAGGCATTACACAGAAAGACTCTCGGAGCCCCCCGTAAAGGTCTCGTACCATGAGGGCATGGTTCTTGTTTGAATGGAGTGAATGAAAGATAGTAGTCTGTATCAATTCATTTGTGGCCCAGTTTATTTTTTCTGGTGATGCTTGGACCGTTTTTGTTTGATCAGAGTGTCAAGCAAAGTAACAGGCCATTTCAATAATGTTAATGGATGTGGTAAGATGCTGTATTGTTTCGTTGGTTATTTTTTGATTTCCATGCTACAAGCACTATCAACGGAAAACGCTTCTGTTAGAAACCCTACGAGTCTATCGAGCCAACAAAGCCTTTTTCCATGCCACAAGAACCTCAGCACCCAACTCAACCAACCCCCAGCCTGATTTTCGTGATCTTAAGGAGGAAAGGGGACCACCCTCACAATATGTGAACCACACGATGAACAACGTTGATCTTCTGTTCATGGTGTGAAACCGTACTATGTCCGACCGTTCCCTGTCTACCCGTTCAGCCCGTGATCGCATCAACCCCTTATTGATGGTCGGACACCCTGGACTGCCTGAGTGTAAATGATAGCAGTGTTCATCGCGTGTCAGGCGGAGGTTGACGACTCGCGACGCGTTGACGCGTCCTGTGGCATCGACACTCGCTGTTTGATAAGCGACCAATTTCCATTGGTGCAATGAAGAGGACTTTTGTGCGTCGGTCGATGTGGATGCACTTTTTAACTTTCCCTACAACTAGTATCGAATATTTCATGGGACAGATAACGGGTACAGAGCAGAAGCACAGCAGCGCATGCGTTAATCCAGGTTTGATGGCATTCCTGTAGTATCACTACCACTTTAAAATAGCGCCTTGAATGAATGCAACCACAACAACCCATAATGGAAGAAGATACGAATCTCCCCATTCAACGTCGCATACGAAATATTAATCATTTGAATACAACTACTGTGCTAACCGCTGTGTTGTGTCCCATCGCATATTCGCTGCGAATTGTAGCAATGGGTCCAATCTACATGACCCTATGCTATCACAAACAATGAGAATAAGGGATACGAATATGGGTCCAACTCTGTGTAGATAGCGGCAGGAAATTGAAAGGTTTATGTGTGGGAACGGCAAATTTCGACCCCATAACTTTCATTATGAAGAAAGTTACGTATTCCAACGGAAGACGATAACATAAGATATTTACCATCCAGCCACGCTTTGTTGGACTTTTTATTTCACGTTGAGCCTAACATTACTTTGAGTATGCAGGTAGTTCAAAGGCGTACGTAGGATCCTACCATTTCGATGTGGATTTTCAACCCAATTGTAGGAGATAACCAGTCAAAATTCAAAACGCCGCCCTCATGAACAATTCCGTCCAAACAGGAAAAAGTCATCAATGGACAATGGAAATCTGCCGCCCAGTTCAAGGATCCCCTCGGATGCAATTCCTGCTCCATCTTTAAACTCGCGGGACTAGCAAGTAGAATCACATTGTATTTGAAAGCTTGTGATTTGTTGTTGCTATGGATGTACTTTTTGAAAACAGACCATTCCGGTCATCTCCACAAACTTATTAGCATTTTGTCTTTGCGAGAATGAACTGGTACTGCTTTTGCTGAACTATACATTTTATAGTGCGATAATGTAACAGAGATAGATGTGTATGGTTTATGAGCTGGGGAGCTAAGGATAGAACATGTATAAACTAATATACAGTTCTATGGAATTTTGGAATGGAATGCATCTTTCATATCATGCAAAATGCGTATGAGATGGGCTCCCTTCCTTGTAAACGTCTTTTGAACATTATCCATATGGTCTCTCTCCTCATCCATCCTCTTCTGATCTTGTGGATGGCATTCCAGCCATCATCGTCAAGACAACAGTAGATGTAAAAAGATGATCTTGTCGGCTCCATTTCGGCGCCGTGTTCGTGGAGTGTCTAAAAGCACTATTCATGGAAATTCTCATCTCACATGGGCCAAACGGAATCCAGGTCGTCGGTTAAAAGTAGAATGTTTCACATGCCATTTTAGAATATGAATTCGAATGCATTCTTTTCATTTCTCTCACATGAAATGGCGTGCTTTTTGCTTTCCCGTGGCTCGCTATAAAATGTGTTTAGCCCAGTGTTTTCCCCACAACGGGGTCATTAGCTAGCACTGGCCATGAATCCATCACCATCTCCGTCCCCGCATTTGCAGGGACAGGCTATTACGGTGCCTCTCCTGGTTCCTACAAACAATTCGTCAAACAGACTCAAGAAATGCTATGCGGTCGTTTCAAAGAATATGCTCTTGACGGCTGCTTTGGATGCTATGCACACGGGGGAATTGAGGGGGATTGAGGAGCTCATTCAGCACTTGACGATTGGTCCTGCGGGTGGGCGTGCACATGAGCTGGTGACAGAGCATAAGATGGCGGCCAGTCCGCATGCGAATGCGATGGCCGTTGAGCACAAGAGTCAGACGCCTGGTGCTAGTCCACAGGCAAATCGATGGAAAGTAACCTAATGAATGTGGAAAAGAGAGAAATTGTACACTATGCATCCACGGGGATTCAGTATCTGCAAAATTCGGTACCTCTACCTTTGGAGGTTACGAATATGTCGGCGTCCGTGTCGGCGTCTTCTGTAGATACATTCCTGGGTCCCCCAACGGCGTCAATGACACCACGTCCCCTCCTCAACCACACATCCTCTCTCGACTCTCTCTTTTCTTCTCCTTCTTCTTCGCCATCTGAATTTCTCCCCTCCTCGCTCATTTCCACATCTTCCACGATTACCCCTTCATTCGAATCCTCTTCCTCACATGGAGCCTCCATCGGATCTTCATCCGGTACATCCATATCCATTACGCTCCCCCCATCAGCAACAACGACAACCCCCTCAGCCCGTCATCGACTCAAAAAGAAATTGTATACACAAGCCCTCGAGCGCGCGGCAACCGAGAAAACCAACCAAGTCGAAGCCCTTTCAGGATCCCTTGATCGGATGTATCGAGAAATCCGCTTTTTACGCGATTTGGTGGTTGAGAGGGATGGACGAGAAGCTTTGGATCGCCTATATTGGGAGAATGCGGTGGTTTTGAGTCAGTATCAGCATTTGGAGGGGCCTGTTGATGCTGCTGAAAATTCCTTTGCTTCTGGATGATTAGGAATGGATATAGGTAGAATTGTATATTATATTAACAAAAGTTGCTTGGTGTGTGCTCAGATATCAGGGGCATGACGGGTACCCTAATGCACGAGGGTTTAACGGCATATGCACTTTGCAAGGCCACAAGTGCTTCGCCTTGCTGACATGTACAAGCCACAGATCATGGCACAGTCACAAAACAAGCAGGTTCAAATGAAAAAGCGCAACAAATGGCTGTAGGTACAAGTCGATCAACGTGTCCTGTAGCTGGTTGGGGGGTTGTTTTCTAGGCCAGCTCCCTTTTCATGCGACTGGTGCATCTCCATTGGATATCATCCAGTTCATTTGCAGCAGTCACTCGGCGTACCTTTTATAAACCATTACCATCGCATCTGACGCATAAACGAGCACGACTATTTTCATTTTCGATACGGGATTGTAAACAGATGGCGGATTCTATAGCGACAAATGGTCCTGTTGCGAGTTCGATTGGGGATGAGGTGCCTAAATCAAAGAATGCTGAAAAGAATGAGGCGAAGCGGTTGGCAAAGTTGGCAAAGTATGAGGCCAAATTGGCTGCTCAGGCTGCTGCTGCTCAGGTGTGTGTGTGTGTCTGTTTTGCATGTATGTTCCTGGATTATTACTAGTGTGTATAACTTTTATGCAAATGGTTTGGGTTGGTTTAGGCGGATGGTGGTGTAAAGAAAAAGGAGAAAAAGAGCAAGGTAAAAGAAGTGGAGCCAGAGCCAGAGTTTGTGAATACTACGCCATCTGGTGAAAAGAAAGGTATGGCATGTCGTATGTGCATGGTAATGTATTCCTTGATTGACGTATTTTTTTTTTTTTGGCAGATCTGAGTGGTCCATGTCCAACCGCTTATAATCCTAAAGCTGTCGAAGCTGCCTGGTACGACTGGTGGGAAAAGTCTGGCTATTTCAAGCCGGATATGCCAAACGGGAAACCCCGTCCCGAAGGCGTCTTTACGATCCCGATTCCACCGCCCAACGTAACGGGAGCTCTGCACTTGGGTCACGCACTGACCAACTCGATTCAAGATTGTTTGACGCGGTGGAATCGGATGAAGGGCAAGACGACCTTGTTTGTACCTGGATGTGATCATGCTGGGATTGCTACTCAGATTGTTGTTGAAAAGCGATTGATGAAGGAGAGAGGTCTGAGTCGGCATCAGTTGGGTCGAGAAGCGTTTTTAAAGGAAGTGTTTAAATGGAAGGATCAGTATGGGTCCCGGATTTATGGACAATTGCGGAGTGTGGGGAGTTCTATGGATTGGGACCGAGCAAGGTTTACTATGGATCCTAGTATGGTGAAAGCGGTCAATGAAGCCTTTGTCCGATTACATGACGAGGGCATTATTTACCGCGAAAACCGGTTGGTAAATTGGGACACGAAACTCAAGACGGCTCTATCCAACCTTGAAGTGGAAAACAAGGAGCTACCCGGGAGGACTCTGTTGAGTGTACCTGACCACGATCCCAAGAAACAGTACGAATTCGGTGTCATTATCTCATTTGCGTACCCTGTTGAAAACTCGTCCGAGGAAATTGTGGTAGCCACTACACGTTTGGAAACCATGCTTGGAGATACAGCTGTAGCGGTCCATCCCAACGACACCCGATACACACATCTTCACGGAAAATACGTGATCCACCCCTTCCAAAACCGTCGTATCCCCATCATCCCCGATGAATACGTTGACCCCGAATTTGGAACAGGAGCCGTGAAAATCACCCCTGCGCACGATCCAAACGATTATATTGTTGGCAAGCGGAATCAATTGGAGTTTGTGAACATCTTTACCGACGAAGGAAGGATTAATGAGAATGGGGCGCCGTTTGGTGGGTTGTTGAGGTTTGACGCGCGTGAGGCTGTGTTGGAAGAGTTGAAAAAGAAAGGATTGTATCGTGGGACCAAGGATAACAAAATGGTGATTCCTGTATCAGAGTAGGTGTTTTGTGGAGTTATTAGGGCTTTGGTTGAGAGTGTTTTGTGCTTACATTTTTTTTTTTTGTAGGCGTACCGGTAATATCGTTGAACCTTTGCTCAAGCCGCAATGGTGGGTAAACTGCAAGGACATGGCACAAGAAGCGATCAAGGTATGTAGAGTATATCGTGTGCACAGAAAAAGAATGACAAGCAAAGACTTTTAAACTACAGGCCGTCAAATCAGGTCAACTCGAAATCATTCCCCAAACCTCTGAAAAGGAATGGTTCCGCTGGATGGAAAACATTCAAGATTGGTGCATTTCCCGTCAATTATGGTGGGGTCATCGCGTGCCGGCCTATTTTGTCAACATCGAGGGTCAAGACAATGAACGTATGGACGGCGCGTTTTGGGTATCTGGTCGAGATGAGGCAGAAGCACGTGAGAGAGCTATAAAACGTTTCCCGGATGTACCTGCAGACAAGATAACGTTGGAGCAGGATGAGGATGTCTTGGATACGTGGTTTTCGTCTGGATTGTGGCCGTTTTCGATTATGGGATGGCCAGAGCAAACGGGTGATATGAATGTGTTTTATCCTAATAGTTTGTTGGAGACTGGACGGGATATTTTGTTCTTTTGGGTTGCGAGGATGGTCATGTTGGGTCAGAAGCTTACTGGACAGATTCCCTTCAAGCAGGTATGTGTTTTTATATAGCCGCTAGTGTAACATGACAAGCATGATGAATTTTTTGTATTAGGTGTTTTGTCATGCCATGGTCCGTGACGCCCATGGTCGAAAAATGTCCAAATCCCTCGGAAATGTGATTGATCCAATGGACGTGATTAACGGAATCAGTCTCCCCCTCCTTCATAAACGGCTGGAAGAAGGGAACCTGGACGCCCGAGAAATTAAAAAAGCGCAGGAAGGTCAGAAACGCGATTTTCCGAATGGGATTCCACAATGTGGGACGGATGCTATGCGGTTTGCGCTTTTGGCGTACACGTCTGGTGGATCGGATATTAATTTGGATATTTTGCGGGTGGAGGGGTACCGCAAGTGGTGTAATAAGCTTTGGAATGCGACGAGGTTTGCATTGTTGAAATTGGGAGAGGGGTATACGCCTCGGTCAGGCATTGAGGTGCGTTTCGTTTTGTGTGTTTTTTGGTCGTGTTTGTTTTGTTTATTGAGAGTTGTTTTGGGGTGGTTTGTAGGTTACGGGTAAAGAATCCATTGCGGATCTGTGGATCTTGGCCAAACTCAATCAATGTATCCGCAAGACCAATGAATATCTGGAGCAGTACAATTTCATGCAGGCTACGACTGCATTGTACCAGTTTTGGTTGTATGAGCTTTGTGATGTTTATCTGGTACCGTACCCTGTCCGACGCCTTTTGTTTGCGTTTTGCTTGAATCTGATGGCTTTTCCTTTTTGTAGGAAACGACTAAAACCGCTTATTGACGGTACTGACTCTGTAGCCCGCCAAAGCGCGCAAAGACACACTCTACATTTGCCTCGAATCCGGTCTCAAACTCCTGCACCCGTTTATGCCCTTTTTAACCGAAGAACTCTACCAACGCCTCCCACGCCGTCAAAACGACCCACCGTCCATCATGATTGCGCGGTACCCGACTCCAAACCCTACATGGGAGAACCCAACCGCAGAAGCCCAATACGACACTATTACCGAGATTGTACGTGGAGCGCGAAAGTTGTTGACAGAGTACACTGTACGGGATGCGACGGTTTTTGTTAAAGTTGGGAATAAGGAGATGGAGGGTGTTGTTTCTGGGTTGGCGTTTGTGATTCAGAGTTTGCTCAAGGGCACCAGTGTGCTGAATGTGCTCGGAGGGGATGGTGTCGTTCCCCCTGGATGTGCGATTCAGAATGTTGGAGAGGATATTGTGGTGTATTTACTTGTCAAGGTATGGCGTGCCTGCCCAGTATGTACTGTTTGTTGTCATGTTTCTTTTCTAATGTACTTATGTTGTTTGGGGTGTAGGGGTACATTGATTTCGATACCGAAATCACCAAACTCGAAACCAAACTCGCCAAAGCAAAGGAAAACCTCCAGCTTTGGACGTCAAAGACGTTGGGTGAAGGCTATTCTCGTGTGAGTGCGAGTGTCAAAGAGTTGAATGAGACTAAAGTCAAGGGGTTTGAAGCTGAAGTACAGGCATTGGAAAAGGCTTTGGAGAATTTTGTAAGGCTGAGGGATGCATAGAATGTAAATTCGAGCATGTTAAACATAGAAATGACACGTTGGCATTACATAAGCTGTACACGTGCTTTTTATTTTTTTTTGGAGAGGTGGATATGGGTTGTTGTGTCACAACTTGCGGATTCTGTGAATTGGGGGGAGGGTGTCATTTTCATTTTGCTGTTGGTTGGGACCATTGAAGATCATGCAGTGCGACGAACTTATTTGGAAGACGATTGCCTTTGAGTTTTGTTCCTTCAAAGTCAAGTATGTACGCTTTGCCATCTGTATTGTTCGTGTGTGAGTGTGTGAGTGTGATGCGCATGTGTATACTCACACACAAGTACGTTCCCAGGACACCAACCCAAAACTTTTGCCGCAACGAAAACAATGTAACGGGCCTCTGCAACCGACAGTCGTGCCCACTGGCCAACAGCCGGTACGCAACGATCCGCGAACACAATGGGATTCTCTATCTGTACATTAAGACAATAGAGCGCGCCCACACACCGGCCAAACAATGGGAAAAAATCCGGTTGTCGAAATCTTACACGGAAGCATTGGCCCAAATCGATAAAGAACTCGTACATTGGCCGTCATTTACGATCCACAAATGTAAACAACGTCTAACAAAAATAACGCAATACCTAATCCGAATGCGTAAACTGGTGCTCAAACCACGAGCCAAACTGATTGGAATCAATAAAAAGATTGAGCGGCGGGAAACACGAAAGGAAGCCAAAGCGGAAGCGGCAGCACGATTGGAAACTGCTATTGAAAAAGAGTTGTTGGAGCGGTTGCGTAAGGGGGTTTATGGGGATATTGTGAATGAGCGTCAGACGGCTTTTGTGGGTGCTTTGGATCGGTTGGCTGAGGAAGGGGAGGTTGAGGTGGATGAAGAGGAGGAGCAAATTGATGAAGAATTGGAAGAAGAAGAAGAAGAAGAAGAGTTGGATAGAGAGTTTGTGAGTGATGTTAGTGATGATGAATGGGATTTGGAGGATGGAGTTGAGGGAGCCGGGTACGAGTCTGATGATGGATCTGAATCGTCGTCGTCGTCGTCAACAACAAGAGAAGAAGCGGGTTCACGGGGCAAGAAGCGAAAAGCGTCCTCGACGCGACCGGATCGAAAACGTATGTTCCATGACTGTGGTGCAGGGCCCAGTATTGTTTGGGGATGCAAGCCGATTGCTGTTTCTGTGTTTATTGATGCCAATATTAAAATTTCTTTTTTGATTAGGCCCCCATATGGAGATTGAATACGAGACGGAACCGCCTGCACAGCAAACTGTTTCTTGGTAATACCTGTATATTTTTATTATATAATCGTGTGTTGTGTGTTGCATGTGTGCATATGAATGTGTGGATTTCTGTTGTTTATTTGTGCATGAACCCGTTTGTGCTTTCAATGTGCACAGGAGTGGCCATGCCCCCATTGCAACCATGGAACGTTAACGTGTCTGATAAAATGTTTTGCGTGCATTGAATTGAGTCCATGCATGACGAATCTATATAGTGGCGGTGTACTATCAAGTGAGATGATGTGTGTAGTAATGACTCTATCATTCTTGAAGTGCCCTGAATTTGCAAAGAGTAAGAGCTAGTAAAAGTCGTTTTTGATTTCATGGACGATATGCGGATCCCCGTATACCATGCAAAAGAAAAGAGTCAAGTGTCTAGTTACCATGGCTGATGAGAGTGGGCTGAGAGAACGCGTGAATGTAAAATGCATGTAGCCATTCAAACAAAACGGGAGGGGGAATCAAAAACATATGACACACGTGTGTGTGTGACTGTGTGTATAATAAGAGATTCTTGAATGTCCCCACTTGATCGAGTTGTGAAGAGAGAGAGAGAGAGAGAGGGCTAAATCCTTCCCATAGTAGAGAGAGAGAGGGCAATTTCACACACACACACTAACAAACAGTAACACACACACACACATACACACACACACATAGTCTCTCTCTCTCTCTCTCTCTCTCTCTCTCTATGAATGATGAATCACATGTAGATTTCATTATTCTCTCTCTCTCTCATTGCACTTTTACAAAGGATTTCATTAACATCCGTCTTTTCTCTCTCTCTCTCTCTCTCTCTCTCTACAATTGTGACTATTTATAAACACACACGCGTTTATTCCCCCTTCTTTCACATGTTGCATTCTCACGTGTCCTTTTTCTCCTTCTTCTTTTTATTATTCTTTTTATTTCACACTCGCACACATACAGACTATAGTGTGTGTGTGTGTGTGTGTGTTGTTTTTTGCTCATTTGCTGTCTTGTTACTGGAGAGGTCATGACTTCCTCCAACACTACTATATCTCTTGTCGATACACTCCTCCCTCCTCTCCCAGACAGACGCAAATCCATATTCAAACAACTCTTTTCTTCTCCTCCTCCTCCTCCCACTTTTACCACTGTAGAACATGTACAGGAACAGGGATACAAGGTCAAGGAGGAACTCTTGCAGGAAGCAACTCCGCCTCCTCAAGAGCGTCTGGTCGACCCAGATTCCCTCTTTCCATCTCTAATGTCCACGGCAAAAACGTCAACAGACAACCACGACGTATGGAGGCTCTTTACCAAAGTCAAAGAGGCTTTTCCCAACGGTGCTCGTCTGGAAAACATGACGTGGCGTCTCATGCACATGCAAAAGAAAAAGGAGCAGCTACGGAATCGCTCGAGTGGAGATGCAGACTTTATGGACATGGACAGGGACAGACACGGAACAGAGGTCAACATGAGCAGAGACACGAGCACAGACACAATGAGCACAGGAATGGATGTGGACACGACAATGAGCAGCAGGCCCATGTCTATACCCGCCCACAACAAAATGGATTCGCCAATGGAACAAGTGGAAACAGCCGCCGCCGTGGCATTTTCAGCCCCCGCCTTTTCAGGTCCCGCCTTTTCAGCTACCGCTTTTCAAGACGCGGCGTTTCTCGGCCACTCGTATGACTCGCCCTTTGACCAAGAACAGTGGATGCACGAATTCATGTCCATGGATGCATTTGCCCCAGAGCATTCCTTTGAGCACTCGCTTCCGAGCTCTCTCCCAAACTCGTTTTCTAATTCCCTTCCTGCATCCTCGTTTTCGTTGGAATCTGTCTTTCCCGTTCCAACCCTACCACATGAACAAGAACCATCTTTACATGCACCACCACACCCGGTACCACCACAACCACAACCACCACAACCACTACCCGTTCAAGAAGAAGAAGAACAACAACAACAACAACAACACCTTGCATCCTCACCCGTCAGCACCACATCGTCGTCGTCAGCCGACATGCGGCGCGCACCCTCTAAAAAGCCCTCGTCCAAAAACCTTCACGAATTCACAGTGTGCACAAACTGCAGTACCAACAAGACATCGCTGTGGCGCCGCAACGCCAACGGCGACCCTCTCTGCAACGCCTGCGGCCTCTTTTTCAAACTCCACGGCGTGGATCGCCCGATTAGTTTGAAAACGGACGTGATTCGCAAGCGGAATCGAGGCAAGGGGTTGCCGGTGCACAAGGGAAAAACAAAATCGGGGACGTCGGTGCCTAGAGAAAATGGGTTGTTGGCGGGTGGTACGGCGCCAACGTTGTTGCGGAGCATGAGCAGTCCGAATTTGCACATGATGGGGCATCCTCCTGGGCCCATGCCTGCGGGAGTGCCCACTGGCATGTCCAATGGCATGTCACCGAGTGTGCATACTGGAATGTCCATTAGAATGCCCACCGGGGTGCCCAATGGAATTCCACCTAGTATACACACGGGAATGTCACCTGTAACCAGTGGAATGTCGCCTGGAATGTCCCCTGGAGTAGCGAATGGAATGTCGCCTGGAATGCATACCGGAATATCACCTGCAATGCTCAATGGAATGTCACCTGGGATGCAAACGGGAATGTCACCAGGGATGCAAACGGGAATGTCACCTGGAATGCATGCTGGCATGCGTACCGGGATACCAACGGGGATACCAACGGGAATGCCCACAGGGACGCCCACAGGGACGCCCACAGGGACGCCCACAGGGATGCACACGGGAATACAAACGGGAATGTCTCCAGGCCACCCGACGACCCTATCCACGACCCTGTTCACCGCTCTATCCTCGACGCCACCTACGACGACAACAACTACCACCACCACAACAACAACCACAAATCACTCGACTGACCCGACCGGCCAGTCAACCACCACCCCCCACCCCCGCTCCCAACTCACCGCCGGCCTCCTCTCCTCCACTTCCCTCGCACCAACCCTCCTAACCCAAGACCCCTTTTTCCCATCCCCAGATTACACCCACTACCCTCCTTCAACCTCTCTCCCCACTTTTCCCCCCACCAAACGCGTCCGCATGGAACCCACCCCCTCCCCACCGACCTACCTCGACATGCACTCGTTATACGCCCAACTCAAAACCCTCATTGAACTCCAAGTAGGCGAAGATAGCCAACCCACCACGCTCCCTGGTATGACGATCCCGCATTCGCATCATTTTCAGAGAAATGTTGATGTGGATGTTTTGGGCTTGATTGGGAATGGGGATCCGGCGGGGACATTGACTGAAGAGTTGGTTGAGCGGTGGGGAGGTGGATTCTAAAAAATGAAAAAAAAAAAAAAACATTGTGTATAATGGAATTCTTGTGTGTGTTTTTATTATTATATTTTTTTTTTATTGTTTTTTTTTTTATTGGTGCTTTTTGATGGGGGTTTTTTTTTTTTTGGGGGGGGGGGGGGGGGATTGTGATATTACGACCCGATGGATATTTTCATTGTTGTGTTGTTTATACGACTTTGTGATTGTGATTGAGCTGTGATGGCGGTTTCGGAATTTTGGTTAAAGAGGCGGGTTCGTTTAACGCGGGTCTGATATGAACTAGTGTGGGTATAGTATTTTAAACGAGTTAAAAGAAAAAAAAAAGTTTTTTCAACAAACATAGGGGTGTTTTCTGAATGTTTGGCTGGTTGTCCATTGCTATCCTACGAGTACTTTCCAATAAACAAACCCATATATATTGATCAAGTGGCTTTGGCAAACCGCATAAAGGAAACAAGAATACCAAAAAACCTACTCTTAACGGCAACCCCATATACCCACTTTATCAGAAAAAAACATTATACAAAAAAAAAAAAAACACTTTCATCACCCCGAAATAGCCAATTCAGTAATCAACCTCCCACAAGCCTCAAAAAACCCAAAAACAGTCATACACCCCTCCCCAGAAGCATTCTTGAAATCCACTAAATAGTTGTGTTGTTCCACTTGGTATAACTGTATATCCAATTTAATCTAAATCAAAAAAAAAAAACATCATTAGCACATTCAAAACAAAACAAAAAAAAACGACACTTTATTTACGTTATGATTCCCACTCATGACTGCCCGAATATGATAAACATCCACAGCCCGCCACCGCATCCCAACACTTTTGAGTGCTTTATAAATCTCCAACATGATATCAAACGGCGCTGACCGGGATCGGATGCCGAAATGCCATTTGGAGCGGGTTTTGTGGCGGCGGGGTATAGGTTCTCGGGGGAGACTTGAGGGGAGGACGTGGATGGAGGAGGTTGAGGGTGGGTCGGGGGTGGGTGTCGGTTGGGGTGGGGGTTTCTAAAATGGAATTTAGAAAGGGTGGTGTTGAAAGAGTGGGGAGGGGAGGCTTACCCGTGTGGGTGCATTCCAAGCAGGTGGAGATTCGGAAAGAAGGTAATGATGTATCGTCTTATTCGGAGAATGCCGTACTAGAAAAAAGAAAATCCCTTTACTCAACCGCAATCACAAAAAAACAACAACCAAAAAAACATTTACCTCCAGCAACCATCCTCCGATGATCCAAAACCAACTCACAAGCAACCTTGACCTGATTATTCCCCTCCTCACCCAACGCAACCCTCACCGTCTCGGAACTCAATCCCATCCGCCGAGCGACTTCTTCCACAACACCAGAATCCAATCCAGAATCCACAACAGAGATACTGGGTAAGGGGTTCAAGTAATCCGGTAACCCTTTTTGGAACCAGTCTGATTCACGGATTTGGGAGATTGTGATGCGTTTTAGGGGGTCTACTATTAGCATTGCTTGGAGGAGGGATTTGACCGGTGGGGAGAGGAAGGTTGGGAGTGAAAAGATTCCGCCTTTTTTTGGTCTTGTTAGGACGTGAATTCTAGAACGATCGGGGGGTTCGCTCTTACCATTGATTTTTTTAAAGAGGGCTGGAATGTAGTCATCGTCAAATGGTAATCGTCCACACAACATGACATATAAAATAACTCCACAGCTCCATACATCCACTTCTGGTCCCGCATATAACCTACATCACACAACATGATCAAAAAAACTTCCTCACAAACACCTCATAAAACAATCAAGACGTACTTTCCGTTAATCACTTCAGGCGCCGCATAATTAGGTGACCCTACACCCAAAACAATCAATAACTCCCTCATCACAATATTCATTTCGCATTCTAAAATACCGCTTTTTTGAATTACTCACCACAACTCGTTTTCAAAAACTCCCCATCAGACATGATATTACTCAACCCAAAATCCGCAATCTTGACCTGATCATATTCATCCAATAATACATTCTCTGGTTTCAAATCCCTAAAAAAAAAGGGGTAAACACTCCTTTCAACTCTTGGTTTCTTTGGGTCTTACCGATGAACGATTTTATGACGATGACAATACTCGACCGCACATATAATTTGTTGAAAAAACCTCCTAGCATCGTCTTCTGACATCTACAAAAAACCATTAAATAACCATTGTTTCCATTATCATAAACTCCAATACTCACTCGACCGCGATTGACAATATAATTAAACAACTCTCCACCAGCATATTCCATCACCTTTAAAAAAAAACCCATTACAACAAACACACACCAAAAAAAATAAAATAAAATAAAATACCATGATAATATCCGTAGGCGTCGTAATGACTTCATACAATTTAATAATATGCGGGTGTCGCAGTAATTTCAAATACTGAATCTCTCGTTTAACGCGCCCGACCATATCCATGTTGGCTATTCGGCGGCGGTTAATGATTTTGAGGGCTACCTTGTGGCCTGTTTGGGCATGGACTGCCACTAATTGTAATCCGAGAGAACAAGAGTGGTTAGTTATTGAACGTGTGTTTTTTTTGAGATTGGTTTTTGGCGTTTACGTTTGACTTTCCCAAAACTGCCGACACCGAGGGTTTCGAGGAGGGTATAGTTTCCCACTTTGATTTGCGTGCTAGCCATTCTTGTGTCTTGCGTGTTTTCCAATACAAGTAATACGTTTAAAAACTAGGATACAATCACTGCATGATGCGGATAATGACAAGTTGACAAAAGCTTGGGACCACGTAGTGTGAACTCCCTTGTGATTTGGGGTGTCACCTCACGTGGGTGATGACATATGAGGCATTTGAACCGGTTACAAAACCACATTTATCGCTTTTGTTGACTAGATATAAACGCTTCTAAAACTTTATCCGAAGCTTGTCCGGGTGCCAAGTGTCCTTCAAATACGTCCCCTTCTAACTGTCGAATCATGTCTCGGACATGTACATTATTCTTTAATCTGAACAAAAAACGATTTCATTCATGAGTATCTGGTAGTTTTAATAAAAGAACTGAATGTGTTTTTGTTACCTCCAAATCAATTCATCCGTAATACCCCGCCACATCCAGTTTGTACGTTGCGTCCCACGTTTTTGAAAGAGGTATCCGGATGACTATATCGAGTTATTCTCCATCAAAACTAAAACAATGAAGAAAGTTTGCTCAACGATACCTCAATTTCATGGTAATACCGCTTCATAATCTCCCATGCCTCTGGAATATGCGTCCCACGATGAGAAGAAACCGGTAATACCTAAAAAAAAAGGCCATTTAAGCACTGCACGCAACCCAACAGTTTTTGCAACTTGACCCCACCTCGGCTCGCCACTGCTCCCACCCCCCTTTCACAAACTTGAGTGCACTCAAATACTCCATAACAGCCACCTTGGCCGCCCCCTCCAATTCCCCATCACTCTTATTAACCAAGATCAAATCAGAGAGTTCCACAATGCCCTTTTTGAGACCTTGGAGTTCGTCTCCTCCACCCGGTGCGACAAGGAGCGTAAACATGTCGGTCATTTCCGATACCCTTTATACAAATATGAATATAAAGTTGGATAAAGTATTATTGGGTTGCTTACATGGTTTCGGATTGTCCTACGCCGACGGTTTCAACTAGGATAATGTCGTATCCTCCCGCT